GGGATGAGAATCAGCACCTCCAAATCTGAGGTCACAGTCTTCAATCGGAAAAGGGTGGATTGCTCTCTTTGGGTTGAGGGTGAGGTTCTGCTTCAAGCGGAGGAGTTCAAGTATCTCAGGGTTTTGTTCACGAGTGAGGGAAGAATGGAGCGCAAGATTGACAGACTGATTGGTACAGTGTCTGCAGTATTGCATAATCTGTACTAGTGTCTTGTGGTTTACAGGGAGCTGAGCTGTAAGGCAAAGCACTCTGTTTACTGGTCAGTCTATGTTCCTACCCTCACACCTATGACCACAAACTCTGCGTAGTGACCAAAAGGGTGAGACTGCAGAGACAGGTGGTGGAAATTAGTTTCCTCTGAAGGATAAGGTAAGGATGCTTCCTGGGTGCCTCCCTAGGGAGGTGCTTCAGACATGCCTGGCTGAGAGAAGACCCCAGGGAAGACCCAGGACATGCTGGAGAGATTATGTCTCTTGGTTGGCTTGGGAATGCCTTGGGGTCCTCCCAGAAGAGCTGGAAGAGGTGGCTGTGGAAAGAGATGTCTGAGCCTCCCTGCTCAATCTGCTGCCCCCACAACCTGACATCAGAACAAGTGGAAGCTAGTGGTTGGATGGGTGGAATGAAAAGCGCGAGTAACACAAACAGCACTCTGTATCCACCATTCTTATTGTTCATCGTCACACAAGCAAAAAAACTAATGACTGAAGTTGTTTGTAGTGCAAATGCTGCAGAGTAAGTAATAAATCAGTCCAAGAACCATAAAGTACATGGTTCTCAGACAGTGTTTTTAAAAAACAGTTTTCCCAATTCTTTAATAACTTACTTCTGCGTATCGGCTTTTGAAACAGCTATTTGACCTTCAAAATGCATTTATTAAACAAAAGTTAGACTGAGACACACCTTTACTATAATTTTGAGCAAACAAGTAATTGTTTTTAAGTGTTAATCTTGTTAAATTCTTGTTAAAAGTCCTCCCATGCACGCTCCCATGGCTGCCATTTGGCAGCCAATTAATTTTTAGCATAACACTGGCCCACATTTCTGAGTTTGGCCCACATTCCCGGGTTGTTAGCGGTGACGCGTAACAAATGCGACACATCAGTGGTTACGCATAATAGATGTGACGTATACGGCCAAGCAACGTATTTATGGACTTTTCCACTTCATTTGACATATTTGGACTGATGCGACTTATAGGGCGGTGCGACGTGTACGGCGGGAAATGCAGTGAGTTGTACAGTAGTCTCTCGTTTATTGTGGGTGTTAGGGATCACCCCCCAGCAATAAGTGAGAAACCGCTAAGTACAGTAGTCCAAGTTCAAGTAAACTTTATTGTCATTACCATTTCAAGTGAACAAAATTATGCACACAAGTAGTAGTAGTAGGAGTAGTAGTAGTTTATTTTAGTATTTACTGTATGTAGTGTTCTATGGGCTAGGTTAGCTTCAGAGCTTCACTACAGTCATATTTAAAATAACGGGTTCTCTCTTTTTCGAGCCAATTACAGCCATGTGACAGAGGTACTGTGCGTAGATGGTTTAATCAGTGACATGAGACGTTAATTTTCTTTGACCCATCAAAATAAATGTGGTCATTTATTAACAAAATCAAAATTTAACATCAAAACATTGTACACTTGATTAGACTGATCTGGTTCGATTAATAAAACTTGGCACGTTTTACTTAATAAAAACAACAGACATTTCTGAAGGCTTCTAGATTAATTACTGGCAAGATAGAAGAGTTTTAAAGATGGGAAATATGGAGGAGTTTAAAGGGAGATGTTGAAGGAAGATGTATGTCTGTAGACCAGAACAACACGCTCCTTCCAAACGCAGTTCGCCCGCGGTACACTTCGCGTGAAGCTCGTGACGACTCTTTACCTTGGCAGAGGATGGGTCTGCTACGGTCAAGAGGTCCCTGGCACGCTACCTTTCAGCGTCTCCTCAGGGCGGCTGCGACTCGGCAGAAGTCGTGAGATACTCCGTTCAACAGAACAAACTTCCTCAGAAGTTGTCGGGCATTCGCCTGGTGGAGCCACAGTGAGGCGCCGTGATCACAGCAGAGATGGATGACTCCATCAGACTGGAAAACTGAGTCTGAAGTTCCACTCAGCAGTGGAAAAACTCCAGAACTCCAGAACAGCTAGAACTCTCCCAGAACCTCAGAAGACCCAGAAGACATTACTCCAGCAGACTGATAGTTCCAGCAAGTGTCGACTTTTAAAGAGTTCTGCTTCCGGTCACTTTAGTAAGTCCTGATTGGTTGAAGCAACCAACAGGGGTGTGGTTCTAGTGATGTCAAAGGGTTTTTACAAGTCAAGAAAACAGCAAGAATGTTTTAGGAACACAGAAAAATGTTTTGGCGAAGTGAGAAACACTGCAGGTGCCAGTTTTCTTATTTACTGCCAGAGTTTTAAAAACATGACAGCCTGTTCTAACAACTTGTCTCCGACTTTTAACCGACATCACTCTTTCTCATTTCAGACAGAAAATCAAAAATGCATAATTACTTTGTAAAATAGATATTTAACTTGATTTCTAATTTAAATGAGGATTAAAAAATCATTAATACTGTTTCACAGTTGATTTAAAATGAGTGGTTCACTTCAACATTTAAAAATGGTATGAACTAAACACACTTTTGATTTATCAAGATATTGTAAAATAGTGATGATAATATAAAAGAAGAGTGTTCTTTCAATTGATTAGTTCAGGATACAATTAGAAAGTCTCTGGATGAGCTAATTTGTATTTCTGGATTCAAATCAATGAAATAACAGTTCCTGTCCCATGAAGGTCTTCAGAGGCAGGTTTTGGTCGGAGGCCTAGTCCACTACATGTAGTAGTATTAAGGAGGGAGTGGTGGCACAGAGGTTAGAGAAGGTGGGCCTGTGATCGGAAGATCGCTGGCTCAACTCCCAATACAGATAACGTCAAAATGTGGGTAGGACTGATCATTTGCCCCACTCTGAGACCTTAAGCAAGGCTCTTAATCCCCCCCCCCCCCCGCCCCCCTCGATACCAGCCCTCTGCTCCACACAGAGGGCTGTGGTAGCTCAGTGGACTGTGGTTGCATCAGGAAGGGCATCCGGCGTAAAAATAATTGCCATGTCTCCATGCAATTTATTTATTCAAAACTTTGACAGCTTTACATTTTAAAACCCGACTGCTGAAAGCTCTGTGGCTTTTCTGCTCAGGCTGATAGATTTCTTATCAGCCAAAAAAAAGACAAATTAGACTCCCGGGATGAACGTAAACAAACCTGAGCACCCAAAATGGACCCGTGCCAGGTTTTAATGATGGTGGAGACGTTGCTGCACTCCCTGATTGAGCTACAGGTAATACAGATCATTTTGAGCTCTTTCAAAGTTTCTAGGAGAAATGTTGTGTCGCTCACTGACCAGTTTTGCTTCTCTAACATGCTAACATTGTTAGCATTAGCCAGGCAGAAATATGTCAGGTAGACATTGGTTGCACATGCACAGTCAGGTCAGTTTTCCACAATTGGTAAAAAAATGATCAGATTAAGTGTTTACATGGACACCGTTCAGATTATGAATCTGCATAAACCACTCGTCTCATTCCGATTACAAATTATTTCAAATCGAGCTGAATCTACAACGAATAATCCGAATGGGGCGTTTACATGATGCATATTTATTCCGAATGGCCGTTTAATCCGATTATTTAATCAGATTATTTATGTCCATGTAAACATGGCTGATGCATCACACCAAAAACAAGAACATTTACATATAACCGTTTTGTCTCCCCACCTAAGACAAAAGAAACAACCAAATGCCTCTGCTGTGATTGTTTGCCGACAGCTGGAGCCATCCGTCACACAGCAGGGAAGCGAGAGAAAGTAAAGCATTCCCAAGCAAAGTGTCAGTGGGGGAGCAAAAGGAAAAGGGCAGAGGAACATAGTACCTGGCCATTTGGTGATCAAGAACTGGGTGTAAATGCATCATACTTCTCCCCCCCAGCCAAGAGAAAATTTATGGCTCACCTTAGAAGACAAACACTTCCTTCAAAAAGCCTATCCTCGAGGATATAAGGAAGGGTTTAAAGTAGCTTCCTTTTCAATTCTTAAAAAAAAAGGGATAATTTATAGTTATCTCCTCTCAGTGACAACAAATCCCTTTTCATTACAAAGGAGGAGAGAAGCAGGGGCTGCTAGGTAGTGGAGCTGCCCTCAGGCTACATATGGGAGTCATTTACTCCTCGCCGTCCCAGTGCTGGCTTAAACACAGACACATAAAGTTTATTTTAGGGCTCAGAGTCCAAGAGAGACCCCCTTGCTCAATTACTTCAATTATAAGGCTCAACTTTATCATATTCTTTTGCTGTTCTCCACTTCCGAGTGTAGCAAGTAAACATCCAAACCCATCTACCCACAAGTCCAAGGAGCTATTACACTGCTGGATGGTTTCCAAGAACACATTTTTAAGGATAGATTTCACTGCCTTTTTCCCCTTTTCAGAGCTGGACTAGTGAAACAGGCCTAAACTCTTTATAGTAGGTCCCATTGATTAAAAAAAAAACACATTCTTAGACAATAAATTGTGTCAGTAAGAGCAGTTTTGAATAAATGATAATGAGAACAGAAGACATGTTTGTTGATTTGGCTGAAGAAAATATGTGAAGGAGAAACTGATAAGCAGAGTCGTGGTACAACTTGCCCAGAGAAGTGCACTCAAAGAAAACAGTCTCGAGCAAATGGGAGTGGCAAGAGAACATTGACACTACAAAGAACAGACTTCACAAATGTTGGGATGACATTCCTGTATAAAAAACAAAAACTTAGCTATCAGTTAACTTTTTCTCAAGGCAAGAAACAAGATAAGCTAGACCTGACAAGTTTTCAAGTTCAAACAATTAAAAGATAATACGTATTATTTAAAACCAGAACAAATCTCTGCAAGTGAAGCCAGGTTAAATTATAAAGAAACCGCCCAGAGGACCTGACTTAACTTTGTTGGATTATGACAACCTACCTTCATCTGTGTTGGCAGGCCGGCAATGGGTCCTTAAAACTTGGGCAAAGAAAACCAGAAACAGAAGTACACTTGGCCTCATCAGCATCCTGCTGAGGGAGCTACAACTGTTGGCTTTTACACGACTGGAACTCCATTCAGATCCTCGGGACATTAGCTGCACGTCATTCACAGAGCACCGCTAAAAACAAAACACACACCAAGCAAAATTATTAGAGATCACATTACACAAAAAAAGAGAAAACCAAGGATACAAGTTGGAGGTAAACCAGATTTTAGTCTGCACAGTGGCTGTTTTAACCACTTAAAAAAATCTGCTCTTGGCCGTGCATTAACATACATAACCAACTATCAATGAGGAATATGAAGATACAACAGCTGTTCAACCAGCTCACTGTAGCCCACAGTTTAGTTATTCAAGCAAGAATGTTCTTTTATATTATACAAGTGTGCAAGTTTCAAGGTTTTGTCAAACAAATGTTCACGTTAAGCAATTGTTGTTATTTTTATTAAATAGAAAACATTGGCAAAAAATAAATAATTCCATCAGCTGCTTTATTTTCTACAGATGAGCATCAGTCATAAAAATACAATAGTGGTTGCACTCTGGTACAAGTTGATTAAAAAAAAAAAAGGATTATTTGTCTTTATCATAATGGAAATAGATTTTGACAAGCAAGAACAACGTCAGGCTTAAATACAAAAAAAGTAAATTAGCTACAGTATTGGAAAGGCAGAATAACATTTTCTTAAATAAAAACGCAAATTCCTCTCCAAGAAAAAATATTCTGCATGTTTCAGGGTTCAGGATTCAATGCGACTATTGTCATTCACATCACATAGTACATGAGGTGAAAAAAAAATAAACAGTATAAAAGGATCCAAGATATACAGTAAACAATAACAATGTCAAATACAGTGTAGTAAACAGCAGCCTGAATACGAGTCTGTTGTGACTCGTGAGCACACGGGTATGAATACAACAGCTTATGGGTAAGAAATCAGCAGCATGGATAATCAGCAGCACAAATAAAGTGATAAATCTCCAATTAAAGTGGCTATATGCAACCCCCTCTACTTTAGTTCAACTGCAGCGAAATGATGGACGTCACTCAGGAACTCAGCCTCAAGATTTGGGATGCACCACTCCACATTTTTTAACTTCTGATTCGATCCCGATACCTAAATTTGGATGTCGGCTGATACCGATACTGTCCCGATATCATATTGATTTTATATGAGGCTGTAATAATCTCCTCTCAAGTACAATTTGTACAAATATATGCATGCATGTCCAAATAGGTAACATGAGGTAAGTTTTATGAATGTTGGATAAGTTTCAAAGTTAGAATTAAATCCTGCTAACAAAAAACATGGTTCTTTTTTATTCCTAGCTTTAAAGTGGATATTAAAGTGATTAGATGGCTTCAAACATCTAAGTTCATGGCATAAACCAGCACAGACGTGTTCCTGTTTTTAGTATTTTACATCGCTTTATAATGTAGCTGTTTTTTTTGTTTTTTTTATATATATATCATTTTCTTGTATCTTTCAATTCATATGCTTTTTATGATTGTCTACTAATTGTACTGATACATATCTCGTGGAGGGTAAACTATATCTTGGCTGCAAGTATCAAGCTGAGAAATCCTTTGTTTTCTACAACTGGTAGTCATGGTCATTAATTACGATGAAGTTTAGCGACTTCTCGGTAAACTTCGAGCTCCGGGGCTTCAGCGGTGTGTTACTGTCGTTCAGTCCGGAGAAGGCAGCCTGATTTCGGTCAGCCGCGCTCAGTCTGCCCCGATGCCCAGATGTTTTACTTGAAGACAGACATGCATCATGGATCAGCAATCTCTGCAGGTTGGATCGGAAAAATCCGATACGTAAATCGTGCTGGTATCGGAGCCCGATACAGATACTGAATTGGATCGGCCCCATCCCTACTCGAGATCTTTATTTCTTTCAGCACATCACTGTTACAGAAAAACAAAAGTGTGGTTGTGGTTTCCAAATGTCAAGGCAGGTGCTTCAGCAGTTATGCCTGCTTGTACAAAAACAATGATAAGAAACTGCAGACGACCAGACTTCCTCTGATAGCTTAAACAAAAAGATACACCCTGCTTATTTCTTGAGAATGACATGTTCAAAACTTTGAAGCTACGAAGATCTAAACTTGAAAAAGGTCATTATGCACTGGTGTTTGTTTTCTCCCTTCCGCTGAAGGATCCAAATGACCTCAAAAGAATAAAAAAATAAAACCTTTAACATTCACATCTGCTTGAATCATCCCTTCAGGAGCATCTGGCCGCAGAGATTAACACTTGGCCGTAAGTGGGAAAACCACTCCTCTCTCTCAACCTTTAAGAATTTATTTAGACAAAAAAAATTACCATAAAACTACTGGTTGTTGTGGCACTGGCACAGAGAGAACTGCCTAAAATACTATTATTTCTATAGAGAGATCTTTAACCCAACAGTTGCTTTTAGTTCATAAAACTACAATGACCCCCTCCCCAGCTCAATTTACTCCCTGGACATTTTTAAGAAACACAAGCCTGAGCGAACATGACTCACCAATGGGATGGAAACAAATACAAAGTTCTGCCAGTTGCACAAACACAAGAGCATCATCTGTAGATTAAGGAAACCCCATCTCGATTTTCACATCAAGTCCTGCACAGATGCGGTTTTGATTCTTTTTAAGACAATCACATTTATGAATGTTCCTTTCTGAAACGGTTATTGTGTTTTTCTCAAAACCAATTCAATTTCACTTTCCAAGAATGGTCCAGTGTTCAGCAGCTGAGCTGGATCAAGGGGTGGTCTAAAGGGAATAAAGGCGCTCGGTCATCTCTGCTGCGTAAGCTGTGAGTCAGAGTTTGGGAAAGTGCAACCACTCATGGCCCTCGTCACCACATCAGCCTTCAGTGTTTCTAAGATGAGGAAAGGTTTTTGTTAAAATTGTGACACCGAGTCATCTCTTACTCTCGCATAATCAGAGCTGTAGTTTCATCTCCTGGAGCACACATCTTAAAACTAGGGAAGATTTGTAAACAGAGACCTAGCAGGCTGTCAAATAATATTGTTTTATAAAGATTAATGTACCTCCTTATATTTTATTACACACCACAAAGACACTACAAAAATAGAAATGAGTAAAATTCAGGCGTTTTTTTGGTAACAGCTGCTAAAAAGTTAAATTAGACAAGTGCCTCATTAAATGTTGAAAACAATTTCAACAATTTAACAGTAATAAAACGCATAAAAAATAAAAAAATGAAAACATAAAAAACAGTTTCAGCTCAACCAAATTTTTCATGTTTTAATAAGGCGTTTAAAAATCTGCCTGCAAGTCATTTATATTTAAAATACTTTCTGGGGTTTTTGGACAAAAGTTCTTCATAGTTTGAGTAGAACAGCTTATTTTGAACATACAGCTACAAGGTTTTTAGCAAAGCTTCTATTACTGCATTCATTCAGAAGTCCCAATGAAGCAGCCAGAAATGTTTCTCTGTCCTGGACTGAGGCGTCTTGTGAAAGAGCCTTCAACAGCTCTTTGAACAGCCGCTGTTTGAAAATACAAATTTTAGGTTTAGGCACATCTCAAGTTAGGATTTAAGACTTGCTCTGGCAGTTTTGGCAGGATTTCTGAATTAACTGAGGCAACATGGTTGGGTTGAAGCTAACTAAATCACAGCTCATTAATGTGATGCAATGATGACTTACAGTCTGTGAGATCACGTGGCCAAAACAACAACGATGAATGGATTCATTATAGAGCAGAACGTTGATGACCCACAGCAATTATGCATTTAGGTAAGTAAAAAAAAAAACTTGCTTTTTAGATGGCTCTTAAAAGGACCTCAGTTCGGCCAAATTGAGTTTTTGTCCAACGACACTGACAAGCTAATGGCTAGTCTGAACACAGTCAAGACCAAAGTGGATTGCTGCCATTTTAAAACAACTTAAATCTCAAAGTTTTCTCACTATTCATGTTTTGAAAAAGGTTTCATCGCTGTCATTTTTGTGTTACATGGTTACTTACATGAAACTTAACTTTTTTTATGCTCGTCTGTGCTTCTGGTGCAGCCTGGGGGCACTTCTGGCAGGAATATCATATCAAGGTCAAGATCAAGGTTCTATGTCATATAGGCTTCGCCCTTTAAGGCTGTCGCTGATGGGTTTATCCCGTTATGCGCAAGCATCGTACTGAAAAAATTAGTCCACGCCCACCTGCTGTGTGGGCCCCACCCGATCCGTATAAATTACGTTAAGAGCGGGTAATCTGCTCCCAGTTTTTCTTCAGCAAGCATAATAAATCAAGAATAAACTGACCTTTTTCGTCGAGATGTCCAGCTCCAGCACCATCCGTTTGTGTCCCTCGTGCAAGACCGGCTACTTGCTTAGCTTCGACCGGCACGACACCTGCGAGGGATGCCTGGGTCCCCGCCACGTCGCTCGCGCTTCCTCCTGCCGCCTCTGTGACGAGCTTCCACCGGAGGAAAGGCAGAGGAGAGCAGCCTTGTTTAAGGCTACCATCGAGGACTGCCTGTCCGTGGCGGGAGACTGTTCGCTGGACGACGCCATGGATTTCTTCGACGCCGGCTCTCGGAGTGAATCGGATGATTCCTCTGGGACCGGTGACGCTAGCAGCAGCCCCGACGCTCGTTCCCTCCCGGGGAGCGGAGTGTTGGAAAGAGGGAGGCCGAGCGGATGCTCGACTCCCCCGGGGTTTCCCGCCTCAGCGACCACATCGCTCCCTGCCGTGGGCGCGCTCCTCTCGGAGCTGCCCGCCATTATCCGGGAGGCTGCTAGCGTTAAGGGGCTCTCCGTCCCCTCACCCCCCCCGCTCAGATCGGATGATCTTGCGGGAAGGTTTGGCTCCACGCCGGCTCGCCGTCCTGATCCCATTTGGCCTCGTTTTCCTGCGGTGACAGCGTACTGGAACGAGGCCGCAGCCGGTCCTGGTAGGTTAAGGGCGCCCGTCTCCACTTACGCCCCCATCACCAGAGTGGAGGGGTTCACCGAGCGGGGCTTTCCCTCGGTACCCCCCCTTGAGCCAAGCCTCGCGGAAGCCTTCGGAGCGAAGATGTCCAGGCTGGAGAAGCGTCCCGTCCCTCCGGGGAAACACGACCAGGTGGCGACCGCGCTCTCCAACAGAGCCCACCAGTGTG